TTAATATTGATTTTTTTTTCAAAAAAAACACAAATAATATTGATTTTTATTTGGCCAGTCGAAGTGGTGTTACGTTTTAGACCTATTAGAAAACTTTGTGAGTAGGCTATTCGACGGCTATACTCATCGTAAGAGGATTAGTTGGATGGTAAAAATCCGGATTAACTTCTTGTTTAAAAAACAGAAAGAAAAACAAATAATATTGATGACAGTTAAATCATATTCTTCTGGTCTAGTGGGCTTATGGGATTATTATTTTCTTTTCCTTCAATTCATCTAATAACTGGGCTTAGATATTAAGCCTTGTTGGACTCTAATATAGGCCTTAAACTTTCTTTAATTAGTGAGTTAAATATATATCGTTATAATCGGCTAATGGAGGTTTATAATTCTGTTTTCATTTCACATAATCTAGATGAACTGTTGCTGTCGAGTTTGATTGCTGCAATTTGTGTTTGACTTGGTATCCATAAACAATTTGTCATTTTCACAAAATAAATTAATCGTTGTTTTTCTTTGATCGATTGTTACCGAATGAATTAATCTTTTCTTTGTATTGAATTTGTTTGTTCTCCACATTAAGAGATCTTTCTCCGTAAAGTATTTAGACATCTAGAAGTATTCATAAGCTATTAATTGAGTGTGACAATTAAGCAGAGCATATGATATTATCATGGGCTATGGAGTTTTAGTTCTCTTACTCTATATTCTAAAAAATTGGAATCTTAAGGTATACAATTGTTTATTTTTGAATTTGCTTGCATGGTGTTTAATTTGCTAATTTGTTGAATCCTTTTTCTTTAGTTTGAAAATATATTCTTGTTAATATACTCTTTTTGAGGTTCTTTCTTGACTCATCAAGTTCTTTTTTCGTGTCTGCTTTTTTAATAATAGTTCAAATTTTAAAAACTGATAATTGGAGGGATAATAACGAAACTGTACATGGGAGAAAGTTCNAAAAACAAAGTGGCTCATACTCTAAGGATGAAATATTTAATGATTTTTGTTTCAAAAAATATTTAATGATCTTTGGAATCTTCGTTTTCGTTTCTTTATTACTTTCTTGTTCTTGTCTGTGCTCATTCAAATCGAGTCCATTACATTACAACACTTTTTTTTGGGCCTTTGTGCTAACTTTAAAAAAAAAAAAATCTGTTATTTACCATTTTATTGTGTCAGAATTACAACAATATCTATGCAAATAAAAAGGTTTTCAAATTCTAATATAATTATAGCAGCTTCACTATATCTATTTGTTTAAACAGAATTGTTGTCTTGATTGAATCAAGGTTTTTTTTATCTTGCTTTTGGGTATATGCACTTGCTTGTATATAATCAAGATCTATGCATGCTTGCATATATGCATTATACAATCAAGATTTAGGCATGCATTTCTTTCTTAAAAAAAAAAAAATTAGGCATGCATGCATAGATGGATTATATATATTTGGATTTTCTGTGGAAATTCTCATACTAAGTAGTATAATTTAGTCGTTTATTTGTTACGCATTGCTTTTGCTATGTTCGTTGTCCTTTTTGGAAGTGCAATAATGCATAAATTAGTTAGCCAGCTTGCATATCGCAAATTGACAGTTAAATTTCCCCACTTCATAACTATGTGATATCAAATCATTGCATTATGACGAGCGAACTCTTGATACCTACCATTGTCAGCAATCTTCTTTATTTGGTCGCTTGTTTTGCTTGAAAAGGTCAAAAAAAGCTTTACTCATTTGGTTATTGATTAACAATTACAAAACGACTTTTCATTTGTTTATATTCCTAGATGTTTCCATTGTTTTCATCATTCACTTGCTTTGGAGATAAGTCAAATACCTTGACACTTAACTAATTTCTAGTTTATCATTATTATCTAATAGCTAGTGTCTATAATCTCAAGCTTTTTCGTGAATTAAGTGCTGTTTACTTATTTAGACACCATTGTGATCTTGTACGATCGCATCAAATTACATATATATAAAAGTTGATACGAGACAGAAATATGGTCCAAGTGGCGCATGCTCCTCACGTACTTTGCTTTCAAGATCAATTCAAATAATAAATAGTCTCTTTTGTTGGGTCTTTGCTGAGTTTTCTTTTTCTTTTCTTTTATCGAAAACATGTTACGTTGTTTCTTTGCCACGCTTGATTTGAATTAAAGACTGACCAAAACATCTAAAACCCGACTTTTGTTAAAGCTTACCTATGTCACTTTCCGGCGACTTTTCTTT